TCCAAGAGATTAAGTCACTCAGAACTCCTTGACTTACCAAACAAATATACTGTCTTGGTTTCGGCTGGGATAGAGTTAAATTTCTTCCTAGTGCTGTGTTTTGGATTTAGTATGAGAAGAATGTTGATAACACACGGATATTTCCAGTTGTTGCTAAGTACCCTGCTAGTCAAGGACATTCAGCTTCCATGCTCTGGAAAAGTCTGGGAGGGAGCATAGCCGGGACAGCTGGCCCAGCTGGCCAACAGGGTATTCCATACCATGTGACGTCATGCTTAGTATATGAATGGTAGGCGTGTTCCAGAAAGTAGTGATCGCTACTTGGTTTTCGGTCAGCGCAGGTGGTGAGCAATTGCATTATGCATCACTCATTTTGTATATTCTTTTATTATTATTATTATTATCCCTTCCTTTTCTGTTCTATTAAACTGTCTTTACCTCAACCCATGAGATACCCCATTTTCTCACTCTTACCCTTGCAATTCTCTCCCCTTCCCACTGGGGGGGGTGGGAGTGAGCAAGCGGCTGCGTGGGGTTTGGCTGCCTGCTGGGTAAACCATGACATAAAGGTTTGTTTGAATTTCCACCGTTATGTGTATTGTTGTTGGATTTCCATTGTTACACCACGTGAGTGAGTCTTTGAGGAGCTGGGCCTCACACAACTTCCCTCCCCTGCTCTTCCCAATCACAGGGATTTTACGAATAAGGACATGTGCCTCACAGGCTCGTACATTTTACCCATTCGTGCTTGTTTGATTTCCAGTAACTTGTGCCTGACGGAAGTATTTACTTCAGGAATAAATTCAGTTTTGATTTGAAAACACTGAGGGATGCAAAAGCCATTGCTTCTTTTAGTAACACCATCACCCATTTTTAAATCTAGTGTTTTCTCCCCATAAATTTTTTTATGTGCTGTTACCAAATAATTTCTCAATCCTTTTATTTGCTCAGCTAAACAGACCAAGCTTCTCAATTCTCTTATTTTAAAGGTGCTTCTGCTTCACAAATTATTTTTGTGACTTTTCCCTGAACCCTTATAAAAATGTTTAACAAACTTTTTAAAATGAGACCACCACATCAAGATTCATTATTCTCATCTCGGTCTTGACATTGACAGACTATGCTCTATAATTTCTGCTTTGGAAGTACTCTCTCCTCTTCTTTGTGATTATTTCCTTCACCTCTGTTCGCAGTCCTTCCTCTACTTCCACTTTCTTTCATGCTTCGTCTCCTTTCTCCTTTACCTCACTTTCCCTCTGAACTTTCCTCACTATGCTTTTCGTTGCTATTCCTCTCCTCACAGCCCAACCCAAAGAATGGAAAACTCCAATGAACAAGCATACTAATCTCTTTCTGGGGCACAATGTGATATTTAGAAATTATCATCTCAGTTCAGAATTACTTTTATGTTCTGTATCTTTCTCTTACCTATTTTACATCCATTTTAATATATTTGAGGAAGCGATTGTCTCAAATCTAACCTCATTTTATTGTTAGGTCTTAAGCCTATGTTCCATATTTGACTGTCAGCAAATAGATATTTCCATCCTGAAATTTATCACAAATCCCATCCATAATCCTATCCATCTGGCACTCCAACACAGCTTTGGAATTTCAGTAACACACAACGAAAATGCCGATGACCGCTTTCTTCTTACAAATCTTTCCCTCCCCATAGAGACATAAAGATAAAGATAAGATGTCTGCTCTTTTTTGTAGGTAAGAGAATTGCAGATTTAGTCTCCCTGAGTGTTATTATCTCTGACACCCATTTAGCTTGAGTGATAACTGTTAAAATGAAACATTATTATCTGATGACTAAACATTCCACTAGTATCTCATTTCTATCAACTGTCAGTACAGACAAGCATTAATACAATGAAACGAAATACAAGGAAGAGTTACGCTGCATGTGAAAAAAATATGAGAACCAGCTAAATAAATGAACCATTGTGACAAACTTGTTCTTTTTATTTCAACTCGCGTTTTCCAACTGCAGCTAAAGAGAATTTACAAGAGGTTTGGTTTTGCAAGACAGCTGGAGTTAGCATTCTTGCTCACGCACAAATGTGATGGGGCAAAGCTTCCCTGCTTTAGAGCAAATATCAGATTTCATGGAAGCTTCCCATGGCTGAAAGTTGTATTTCAATTGTGCTCAATGGCTAAGGGAGCAATGTACAAGAAGACAGAGTAGAATAACAGTAATAGCTTTTCTTTTTTAAGATTTGTAACAAAACACAGTGATGCAAAAAATCATTACAGAGGAAATAATGATCTTGGATTGTTTTGTTGTGTTCCGAACAGTTCCTTACATCTGCGAAGAGAGAAGTGGAGCAGCATATACCAAGTCTAGATCCTTGGTATATGAGCTTAAGATCCAATTGTAGAGTCTGAATTAACAATAATTTAACACTTTATCTGTATGGACACAAGTTGTATTGAAACACTCAGAAGTCCCTTGCAAGTCAATCTGTCCATGTAGATTTATTTCACATGTCGTGTAATGAATAGATTTGAAATCCTTGTTCAATTCCTACTGACCATGCAGTCATCGAGATGACTAAAAGAAAAATTCAGTAATGGTTCCCTGAGATGGTAAATTTTTGGGCACTGCCTCACCAGAAGTGTTGGTACTGATCCTTGCAGTGTTACCAACTACCTGCTGTCAATGGAGAGAACAGGAATCTTGGGGGACCTGCAGGGGAAAATCTGGTCTGCCTAATATAATGCTTCCTTCTACATTAATTGCATAAAGAATTTAAACCGGTACAAGAATCAGGAGTTCTAAAAGTACCTGGATTGCTCTCCATGATCTAGGTGTCTAAATCGCAGTTGTAGATGGGATGTTGTAGCATAAATACCGTTTTTTGTTTTAATGTCTAATTCTTAAGCTAGGCTAAGTGCCTAAGCTAAACTATAGCTAAGATTTAAAAGCTAAGATGTAGCTCTGCAAGAAAGAGAAGAAAAAACTGTTGATGTAGGCTTTATGAGTACTGAAATTTTTGGAAATTTCCTGTAAACATCCTCTGATTTGCAAGAAGGCTTTGAGTTTGTCTATGTAACTTCAATATAATTGTGAAGTCTGAATGATGATTTCTCATATCTTGGATCATCTCCCTATTATTTTGGACATACAAAAAATTTATTTTGTGAAATCATCAGATGAAGATAAAAAATTTTATAATCATCAAAATATCATTTCTAGCAGGTTTCAGATCTGATCAAATTCTGCAGCGACCAATATAGTAGAAATTCAGTTTTCTAAAGAAGGGGTTTTTTTCATTTTAACTGTGAAAGATATCTACTAATTTAAGTTCTAATTAATAGACTGCAGATAACTCCAAATTCTCTTAGAAATGTGGACTGAAGTATTTGTAATATCCTATGGAAGCATTGGTCCTCCCTGTGAACTATATGAGTACACTAAGATAAGTAACATAAGGCTCCTATACTTTGGACAGAAAAGCTTGCGGAAAAAATCATGTTTGTTGAATGGCCAGAAATTCAGATACTAAGATTATCAAATAAATTGGAGGCAATCTGAACTGAACTGGGATGACCAAAGTCCTAATGGTTTCTCAGCTCTCACTGAATATAACTGTCATTTAAAATACTAAGACTACAGTACCATTTCTACTGGATTACTGCCTTTGAGACCCGGTTCATAAAAGGGCACTGGGGCGTTAGAGACTTCCACACGTGTAAGGAGATTCAGAGAAGTTTACTGTCTTAGAAGAAAAACGACTTACAATGGGTTTGCTGCAGATGGCATTACCAAGCAAATGCAAATGATTTGATATGTGTCTCCAAGAAATTTAACAATGCTGGTAGCTTTTTTCATCTGTTTACGTTCTCTAATTCATGTTTCACTTTCACTGTGGGGGTTCCAGAATCAAAATATTGATTATTTTGTGCAATGTTTAGTCTGTGATAATTGAATCCAATCTTCTTAGAGATCATTGTTGCATAACCATTATTCAGTTACATTTTCCATTAATTAATTTTTGTCAAATTCTTTTTCTATTAAGATCTCAGTAATGTAGCTGCAGTACGCATTAACTATCTGCTGTATGTAATGAGACACACTCACATTAAAGGAGGAAAGCTGGAAAAGAAGCAGACAAAGAGATTGGACAGCAAAACATCCATGGAAAGAGGAGAGTGCTCAGGTTAGGCAACACTGTTTTAGGGAAGACAGCAACGGAAGAAGGATTTGGAAAAGGGGAACTCAGCAACATTGATATAGAGGATAAAAAAGATGGAGAAAACCTCTCTCAGAGCATTAGATGTTGGCCACTGTCACAGTAAATCATTGGACAAGCTCTATACATGGACCGCTGAAACATTGCTATTATTAATCCTGATTGTATCAAAATACAGTAATCTATCAGCAACACGACTACGTTTACATGATGAGAACACATCCCTTACAACATTTCCATCCCTTGTGGATTTAAACACCAACCTAATTTAACAAGTAAAATTTGCTCATTTGGCAAATCTTAGTGCTTATGAGTTTGTCTATGAGCCAGTTTCCAATCTAAAGTATTGCCACAGTAAACACAGTTAGTGTTTAAATTGTTGTTGTATTTTATTAAAGGGATTATTGGAAGCGATTCAGTCTCCTCCTCATCAACCTCCTCTTAAAAATGACAACAGTACAAAGTAAGAACTGTTAAGATCCATGAAACCGATTGCCCTCAATGCACACACAGCTATTGTGTTGCTCTGAAACAGCACAGGTTCATAAAATGCATTTAGTATCTGTTCCCACGCATTACATGGATTGAAAAAGTCCTGCCCTTTTCACAGCGATAATCCTGAGGTCTCTGAATCACCATAGGAATTACTTGTCTACTAATAGCATTCTCAGATAAGAATGTGTTCAGGACACTGAACACATACATTGTCAGAAACAGTGAAGCAAGACGAAGTGTCCTGAACACATTGTCAGAAACAGTGAAGCAAGACGAAGAAAAAGAAAAAAACCCCAACATTACCTGATAGTTTTGATCATGCTGAGCCCCATTTCAACGCAGCAGTGTGCATGGTCCTGGCGAGGTTCTGGGAGCCCCGACACGCAGTAGTAACAGTCCCCCAGGATCTTTATTCTGAGACAATGATGTTCCTATATGTAAATGTATCAAAGAGAAAGCAGAGATTTGCAGTTATGTTGTCATAATTTTAAGATGAATGTGAAAGTGGTTGAAAAAAGTACTGAAAAAAAATTTTAAAAGCTTGTTGCTGGATGTTTCCTGCTTGTGATTAATACAATCTTGATTTATTTAACTTTTGAAATAAAGTACCTTTACATTTTCAATAGAAAAGGATATGGTGATTTTTGTGTCATGCTAGTCAGAGATGTCCCTGATGACGGTGAGAAAGGTTTCATCAGAGTTAGGCTGGAAGCTAGGCCAAGGATGCAGAAATGCCAGCTGATATAACGAATAACCCATTTCAGACTATATTTCTCCAGGGTATCCTTTCTACCCCTTTTTACACTGGAAATAAATGAAAAAATTCTTTCCTCCCACTGATAATCCTTTCCCACCTAAAGTTTCCACTGTCACACTGAAGCATTCCCAGCACCTATAGGAGCTGATCAAGTATCTGCAAGCCAAAGATATCAAAGAAGGTGTCTTGCATTAGGCTTGTACCGTGGAGAAATGACATTTATTTGGCATCCAGCTAGAGACGTTCTTCACCCTAGGAGCAAATACTGAATTTCATTACTTAAATACATATTAACAGTATCTTTGTAGACTGAAACAACATATTACTGAGTGATTGGATCATTATTTTAGAAGATCCTTTTCTCGTGAGCAGAAATATCTGAGTTGCCAAAACTTTTGCAGTTCCTAGGCAAGCGAAAACAAGAGAGCCCAAGATCAGCTGTAAACTTGCCCAATGTGTTGTGCTGGCTCGGCCCTCACAGGAGACAATCAATGCACAGGAACAGAGAGCACAATAATTTGAGGACAGAGCTGCAAGTGTCTAGGGGTGGACAGTGTTACAAGCTGAGTCAGGGAAGTGTTTTTATGATGGAGAATCATTGAAATAATAAGTGCAGTATTAGCACTCAATCAGTAAAGGCTGCAATGACAGAACATTAAAATGAAGACCAGCCATTACTGGGGAGTAGGATAATGATTTGTAAAACTTGTTCTTAGATGATAGCAAAATTTGGCCTGTGGTATTTATTTCCATTTTTCTCTTCTCTTTCTCTCTGGCAACCTGCGGTGGAGGCTGCATTAATCAAAGGAGTGGGGATACACTAAACCCGCTGGGGAAGAGAGAACTTTAAGTAGGACGTAGGAGCAAACGCGAATGCTGACTGTGCCTCAGGAATTGAGTACTGGCCAAATGAATGGGTCTCCAGGTTATTATTCAAGATTTTGCCTAGGAAGAATGAAGCTTTGTAGTCAATCTCAGACAAGTCTTTACAAATCCTAGAGTGGCAAAGTGAACCTAAACACTTGTACCCAAAGCTTTTGCAAAGTCAGTTGAAGCTTTAAGCATGCCAGCGAGGGTAAAATCTGCTCTGGGCACAGGGCCAAAGTAAGCTGATTCACCCTGAAATCTCCTTAAACCACCAGTAGGAGCTGACTGTGTTTGAAGCTTTGGCTAAGTCTCCAGCTAATACCATTGCTGGCTCTCAGAGTGCAATGTCTAGCTGCCCAAGTTTCACAAGGAAACTCAAGATTAAAGTCAGGCTTCTAAAATGTCAACATTTATATGTAACTCTCCTCTTTCCTTGTCCCCTTCTCTTCAACCCCTCGAATATTGGGTATTTTTCATACGGTTGCAACTGAAATTGTACATCCTAAAATCCACCAAAATATTCATTTTTTACACATTTCCTCCTCAAGGGAAAGAATGAGAGATTCTATTTTACCACACTTTCCATCTAATTCTTTTTTCTGTAGAGTGAAACTAGGAAACGTTAAAGTTAATCAACAACTAGTGAGGACTCAGTGGCATAAAGCAGTACATGTTAAACTGTTACTGGGCTTCCTTAAGCTTCTCTCTGTGTTCCCTGGTTAGACAAAATGCAAAGAGATAAAGATATTATAAAACACAGATTCTAAAGTTCTTTGACTTTTCTAATAGTGCCATTCAATTGATTCATATTCTAATTGCTATTTGCTTTTACGTCTACAGAGTAAAAGGAGCATTTATAACGTCATATCGGTTTGACTGAGGTGGAGTGGCAGCACTTTAATTCCATCCAGACCCACTACAAATACATTACAACTGACAACTTCATAGTATAATATAGGAAAAAAAAAGGAAAAAACAGTCAATTTCCAGGAAAGAAAGAAAGAAAGACAAGTCTCAAGTAGTATAATATTTTAGTATTATAATTACATTTTTACATGCAACTTTTATCATGCAGTCTTGCACCTGTAGTACCTGCCTATCTGACGGTGTGGGAATCCCCTATTAAGCGAGCATCTAATTCAGCACAGTTAGCAAACATAGTCTGCAACAGAAAAAACCTCAGCTGTCTGGTTCTTAATGACTCATTTAAAGAGGCTGAAGTGATGATTCCATTAAAGACAGATGAGACCTCTGTCACCTGGCTGCACTCTCCTCATTTGCTGAAAGTCAGAACAAGGCAGACCACTTCAAAAAGATGCGATTTTTATAAGAATAAGAAAAATCTTAATGCATAACAAGACCTGCTAATGAGGGTTTGATGTATGCAAATGTGAGTGCATGTCTGTGACACAGGCAATCCATTCAGCTGCACATGAATGTATGCTTTTTCTTGTCATGACATGTCATCTCTACACTCATTTGCCAAAGCTCAGGAAGTCATCTACGGAGTGAGATATCCAAATGGAGATGACTATATATAGGTGTCCATATTTCAGCCAGCAGTCAAGGCTGCCATTACAGTCGAAGGAGAGCCAGGCATTGAAGTCAGTGAAGCCTAGGTACTGATTCAGCTCACAGATAAAGCAGTTGGTTGGGCTTCAGTTCAGTTGTCTACACATAAGCTTATGGTGCTTCGGTAAGACCCCTGGGTATGTGAGGCACCCACACAGGACTAACAGACATGACATAAGACGTACGTCCCTCTGGAGCGGTGCAAGGGCCGGCAGGGTGTCTCTATTGGCACAAGAAGCCACAAGGAGCACTTAAATGACTCCTTGCCTTCCTTATTTTTCCTGTTAGTCAAATCATTATGACTGTTAAACATGAACTCTGTTACAGTCTGACTATATTGCCCTTACCCTTTTTATTCTTCCCTTACTATTCCCATCGTACCTATTTCAAAAGTAAACTGTGGATTTTTTATCACTGGAAATGTTTCAGATAGAAGAAGATAATTCAGCAACTGCCAGGAAGGACAGAGGGCTAATGGTATCTGCCTTTGGCAGAGGAGGACTGCGTGGTCTCCTGAGGTTCCCTCTGATAACTCTGTAGTTTAATCACATCTACAGTTTAGACTAGATGCTTTGTCAGGCTGGTTGTATTAGTACATTAAAGTTAGATTCACGGCTAATGTGGGTAGCCATGCTGTAGCTGTAAATAGGAGACTGAGTTTTGTAAGGGCCTGCCTACTTTTCAGTGGTATAAAATGATAATAATAGCATTAAAGATTTTCCTCACACTCTAGAGCTCAAACCCACTTCCTAAAACCATCTCACCACAACAGTATCTAATAGTTGCAAGTTGATATTAAATGAAAATGAATGAAAAATAGAAACGTGTAAAGAAACTGTAAAATGAGTAAATTATTTAAATAAGAGAAAATGGCCATACAGGAACTTTGATGCAGCAGATATACACTACAGTGTTAAATCCTTACACTGTTGTGAGGCTATTATGATCTTCTCTTTATTTTATTTATTCCTCTTCCCCTTCCCATAAGCAATTCCAGAAGTTGTCCTTGGGCATGTAAATGACAGCTGATATTACACAGACATTCACATCAGTATCCATCAGCCTCACACCCCTCCCCATACTCACTTATTAACGCCGTTTACTGAAAGCATCAATTAGTTTCTCAGCATGTCACAAATAGGGTTTTTTTTTTCCCCTTATTTGCAGCTTCTTATTTGCTACAAGTGAAAGATTAAGGGGCCTGATTCTGCCAAGATCAAGTGAAATCAGTAGAAATTTTGCCTGGAGATACTGAGCAGACTCAAACACTCAACTATTAATAATTCTAAATGAATTCAGTGGCAATTGATAAGAAATCTTTTTCCAAATCACTTTAATCCAGAGCAAAAGAAAATATGCAGATTTTTCATAAATAATTACCTCATACGTGTGAGTGATTTATGTTTAAGCTCATTAAATACACCCTTAGTGACTGGAAAAGGAGCAAAGCAAATTGGCATACAGTGGAGCTGAAGAAATGAGTTGCTCAAATATCAAGTTACTGAAAGACACAGTCAGAAACTTCATTAATATTTCTTGTTTCCTTGGGCTAAATTCCTGACGAGGGGAAAAAAGAGATTGTGTTTTATAACTTACACCACTTTTTCAATTCTGCCTGTGGTGAATTGATCACTGCACCTACTTTCGAAGGGAATCCCATAGGCTAGCAAACAGCCCACAGAAGAGTCCACATCCGTGATTTTTATAATTTCAAGCTAAAAATGTAGAACATTGTGGATGAGAAATTACTGAGGCTGAACTGCAGAACAAAGAGATCATACACATAAATCTCCTTTTAAAAGGTGGCCAAAGCGGGAGGAGGCAGGGACTTGGCCTTTGTGTACAACAGCTCAGTTCCTGAAACATTTGCCAAAGGTATAGGAAACCCAGATAAAAGGCCTTTCTCAGCAGAAAAAAACCAAAGTTCTTAATCAGCAGGCTGTTCTGGGGTGGACTGGAGAGAGAGTTCCATCCAAATTCCTCCTATTGCTGCTCTGTCGCTTTGGAAAACAAAGCTGGGACGTTGACAGAGCCAGATGGAGGGAAGTTCTCGAGTCCTGTGATGCAGGCGGAAAGGAGGACCAGGTTTGGGTCACGGTTGCAAGGAATATTTCTATTTTTTGTACACATAAAGGGAAAAATATCTGGGGTGGACTGGAGAGAGAGTTCCATCCAAATTCCTCCTATTGCTGCTCTGTCGCTTTGGAAAACAAAGCTGGGACGTTGACAGAGCCA